GTGTGGGTGTGGGGGGACTGGGTGTGTTGTCTTACTTCATGTGGGGGCACAGATGTGGTCCAGTACAGAGTGGATGTGTGGGGGGTGTGGGGTGTGGGGGGTGTGGGTGTGTTGTCTTACTTCATGTGGGGGCACAGATGTGGTCCAGTACAGAGTGGATGTGTGGGGGTGTGGGGTGTGGGGGGGACTGGGTGTGTTGTCTTACTTCATGTGGGGGCACAGATGTGGTCCAGTACAGAGTGGATGTGTGGGGTGTGTGGGGGGACTGGGTGTGTTGTCTTACTTCATGTGGGGTACAGATGTGGTCCAGTACAGAGTGGATGTGTGTGTGGGGGGGGTGTGGGGGGACTGGGTGTGTTGTCCTTACTTCATGTGGGGTACAGATGTGGTCCAGTACAGAGTGGATGTGTGTGTGGGGGGGTGTGGGGGGACTGGGTGTGTTGTCTTACTTCATGTGGGGGCACAGATGTGGTCCAGTACAGAGTGGATGTGTGGGTGTGGGGGGGTGTGGGGGACTGGGTGTGTTGTCTTACTTCATGTGGGGGCACAGATGTGATCCAGTACAGAGTGAATGTGTGGGTGTGTGGGTGTGAGGGGACTGGGTGTGTTGTCTTACTTCATGTGGGGGCACAGATGTGGTCCAGTACAGAGTGTGGGGGGTGTGGGGGTGTGGGTGTGGGGGGGACTGGGTGTGTTGTCTTACTTCATGTGGGGGCACAGATGTGGTCCAGTACAGAGTGGATGTGTGGGGGTGTGGGGTGTGGGGGGTGTGGGTGTGTTGTCTTACTTCATGTGGGGGCACAGATGTGGTCCAGTACAGAGTGGATGTGTGGGTGTGGGGGTGTGGGGGTGTGGGGGGACTGGGTGTGTTGTCTTACTTCATGTGGGGGCACAGATGTGGTCCAGTGCAGAGTGGATGTGTATGTGTGGGGGGTTGTGGGGGGACTGGGTGTGTTGTCTTACTTCATGTGGGGGTACAGATGTGGTCCAGTACAGAGTGGATGTGTATGTGTGGGGGGGGGGGAATGAATGACGGTTATTTGTGTGTGTGGATGTGTGTGTGAGAGAGAGAGATAGGGGGCTCAGTTAAAGTCTAAATAAGTGTAATAAAGGAGGTGGGAGTATACAATCATTAAGAACAAAAATGTTCCACGGAGTACATGCTTACACATGTATTTGGTTTCTTACCTGATCCATCTTTTTTTTTTGGGGTTGGTTTTAAAATTCGTTATGATCTGGGGTCGGTCTATGTAAGTCAATGTAGGACATACATGGGCAGCGTAGGACATAACTGGACATCACAGGACATAACTGGACAGTGTAGGACATAACTATAGAGTGCTAGACATTACAGAACCTACCTAAAGATTGTCTGGATTTCTGGCACCAGCCTACAGATAAAGGACGTTGATGTATTTAAACCCATCAAGAATTCCTGGCACCAGCCTAAGATAGAGGACGTTGATGTATTGAAACCCATCAAGAATTCCTGGCACCAGCCTAAGATAGAGGACGTTGATGTATTGAAACCCATCAAGAATTCCTGGCACCAGCCTAAGATAGAGGACGTTGATGTATTGAAACCCATCAAGAATTCCTGGCACCAGCCTAAGATAGAGGACGTTGATGTATTGACATCAAGAATTCCTAGCACCAGCCTAAGATAGAGGACGTTGATGTATTGAAACCCATCAAGAATTTCTGGCACCAGCCTAAGATAAAGGACGTTGATGTATTGAAACCCATCAAGAATTCCTGGCACCAGCCTAAGATAGAGGACGTTGATGTATTGACATCAAGAATTCCTAGCACCAGCCTAAGATAGAGGACGTTGATGTATTGAAACCCATCAAGAATTTCTGGCACCAGCCTAAGATAAAGGACGTTGATGTATTGAAACCCATCAAGACGCGAGAAGCTGCTCGAGTTTTTGTTGGTTAAACTAAAATGTTTTTCGTGTACGAGGCTATTCAGTGTCGTCGTCGTCGTCCCGTCCCCCCCCCCCCCCCCCCCCCTAAATTTTTTTACAATGTTTGAGTTAAGTATGAATTCATGTTCGTTTTATAATGAATAGGAGAGGTGTGTTTAAAAATTAGAATTTGAAAAATAAAATTAAAGTAGAAATATATATATAAAAAAAAGATAGGTTACTTCAAATTAATAATCCAAGAGACGGGGTAATTATGTAAATTATGTAATAATTAACAATTAAACTGGACAGATGTAGTAACTTTTTTGTGCAAACTGGACAAATGTAAACATTTATTGCAGAGGCGTAGCTAGGGGAGGGCGGGTGGGGCGGCCGCCCCGGGCGCCGACCTCAAGGGGGCGCCAAAAAGGGTAGAGAAATTAAAGTATAGAATTATACACTGTCAAAGTTACGAAAATAAACGAATACAAGGCTTTACACACTGATTTAGCTGTTTTTTAATATCAATTTTGTGGCACCAAAATTAAAATGTTACGGCTTAGTAGCCGGTAATAAGTGTCACAAACCTTTCCAACTGGGGTGGGGGCCCTTTTTCACAGACATGAATAACTATATATAGAAATAGGAGGGGAGGGGGCGCAAAGCTGATAGTCCGCCCCAGGCGCCGGAATAGGTCGCTACGCCTCTGATTTATTGTACGAAAACTGGACATATGTAGTCATTTGATGTACACCTGTCTCTTCTGATGGCTTAAATTTTCCGATGTTTACCCCCCCCCCCCCCCCCCCCCCCCCCCAACACACTGGCCCTCGTCAAAGTGGAGGAAGTGATCATTCTAGTCACGTGTGTGATGACGTCATGTCAGTGGGCTGCTCCGCGGTTTATTTGTGAATGTGGCGCTTGACAACTTGGAAATTATGTTGGATGCAACTTCGTATCTTGGGGGATATTTTGTATGCAACTTCGTATCTTGAGGGATATTTTGTATGCAACTTCGTATCTTGGGGGATATTTTGTATGCAACTTCGTATCCTGGGGATATTTTGTATGCAACTTCGTATCTTGGGGGATATTTTGTATGCAACTTCGTATCTTTGGGGATATTTTGTATGCAACTTCGTATCTTTGGGGATATTTTGTATGCAACTTCGTATCTTTGGGGATATTTTGTATGCAACTTCGTATCTTTGGGGATATTTTGTATGCAACTTCGTATCTTTGGGGATATTTTGTATGCAACTTCGTATCTTTGGGGATATTTTGTATGCAACTTCGTATCTTTGGGGATATTTTGTATGCAACTTCGTATCTTGGGGGATATTTTGTATGCAACTTCGTATCTTGGGGGATATTTTGTATGCAACTTCGTATCTTTGGGGATATTTTGTATGCAAATACGTATCTTGGGGGATATTTTGTATGCAACTTCGTATCTTTGGGGATATTTTGTATGCAACTTCGTATCTTTGGGGATATTTTGTATGCAATTTCGTATCTTGGGGGATATTTTGTATGCAACTTCGTATCTTGAGGGATATTTTGTATGCAACTTCGTATCTTGGGGGATATTTTGTATGCAACTTCGTATCTTTGGGGATATTTTGTATGCAACTTCGTATCTTTGGGGATATTTTGTATGCAACTTCGTATCTTGGGGGATATTTTGTATGCAACTTCGTATCTTGGGGGATATTTTGTATGCAACTTCGTATCTTTGGGGATATTTTGTATGCAACTTCGTATCTTTGGGGATATTTTGTATGCAACTTCGTATCTTTGGGGATATTTTGTATGCAACTTCGTATCTTTGGGGATATTTTGTATGCAACTTCGTATCTTTGGGGATATTTTGTATGCAACTTCGTATCTTGGGGGAGATTTTGTATGCAACTTCGTATCTTGGGGGATATTTTGTATGCAACTTCGTATCTTTGGGGATATTTTGTATGCAACTTCGTATCTTTGGGGATATTTTGTATGCAACTTCGTATCTTTGGGGATATTTTGTATGCAACTTCGTATCTTTGGGGATATTTTGTATGCAACTTCGTATCTTTGGGGATATTTTGTATGCAACTTCGTATCTTTGGGGATATTTTGTATGCAACTTCGTATCTTTGGGGATATTTTGTATGCAACTTCGTATGAAGGGGAGGACGTATTCAGATTTCGTCCAACTTTACACTTTGAGGAGATGTTAAGATGTTATACTTACTCCTAATTATGTTAACAAAACAACGTCCCGAAAATATACATTTAGGGGACCATTCATAAATGACGTCACGCTCATCACACCTCATCACAAAATACTGACCACCACTCCGAAATACAGTTGTTGTTTTTGTTTTTGTTTCTTTTTAAAAATGATTTCTGGCTTCAGCTATTTTCTGTGCTCGGTCAAGTTTGAGTATATTTAAAGGCGAAATAATGGCTAAAATTATTGTTCCATATTTTTGAAAATGCAAAAATTATTGTCACAGTTTCCCAACAATTGCTACAACAATACTGAGACTATTGCTACAACTAAACTAAGACTATTGCTACAACAAAAGCGAGTCTATTGTTACAATAATACTGAGACTATTCCTACAACAATACTGAGACTATTGTTATAACAATACTGCGACTATTGCTACAACACTGAGACTATCGGTACAACTAAACTGAGACTATTGCTACAACCATACCGCTGATTATGTTTAAAATACCAAGTTTAAAGTCAAAGAAAAATAGAACAAGTGGAATATCTTTAGATCCATCACTAGAGTTCGCGCGAGGCCGAGTGTCACAAGCAGGACCGAATTACATCAATCCTCTATCTTACGGCTGCCACGAATTACTGCGCCATTGCTGGGTTTAAAAAAAATAGTCCGGGGCTGTAGGATAAAAGCCCGCGGCTGTAATTAGATCTTCAATAGTGAAACTTCGAGTCGAATCCATCATTATATTTTTTATCAATGTAATTCTGTTAGTGTGTTCGTCGTTAGTTTTAGTACAGCCGGGACTTGTACAAGTGGGACAGTCTTGGGAGAGTTGTGGAACTTGATCAGTCTTGGAAGGGTTGTAGAACTTGGTCTTGAGAGAGTTGTAGAACTTGGTCTTGAGAGAGTTGTAGAACTTGGTCTTGAGAGAGTTGTAGAACTTGGTCTTGGGAGAGTTGTAGAACTTGGTCTTGAGAGAGTTGTAGAACTTGGTCTTGAGAGAGTTGTAGAACTTGGTCTTGGGAGAGTTGTAGAACTTGGTCTTGAGAGAGTTGTAGAACTTGGTCTTCATAGAGTTGTAGAACTTGGTCTTGAGAGAGTTGTAGAACTTGGTCTTGAGAGAGTTGTAGAACTTGGTCTTGGGAGAGTTGTAGAACTTGGTCTTAGGAGAGTTGTAGAACTTGGTCTTGAGAGAGTTGTAGAACTTGGTCTTCATAGAGTTGTAGAACTTGGTCTTGGGAGAGTTGTAGAACTTGGTCTTGAGAGAGTTGTAGAACTTGGTCTTGAGAGAGTTGTAGAACTTGGTCTTAGGAGAGTTGTAGGAGTCAGTATTTTCAGAATTATAGAACTTTGTCAATCTTTGTCGACTTTTAAAACGTGATCAGTTTTGCTAACAATGCGCTACAGAAATCAGCATAGATCGAACTAAATTGGAAAATAATTTTATATATATATATATATATATATATATATATATATATATATATATATATATATATATATATATATATATATATATATATATTATGGTTCCCCCATCCCTTCCCCATCCTTCGAGTTTTTGTCTTATGCGAAGGCTTTTGAAAAGTTTGCTAGAGAACTTAAAGACTCGGAATGTAATTCTTACAGAAAATGCTAGACTACAAATATCAAGGCTCGTAAATTAGAACTAGATTTAACATGAAGGTACGGCGTCGCTTTTTGCCTGCTCAAGCAAAAATTAACTGGTTTTAATTGGATCGAAAATAGGTGGGTGTGTGTGGGAGTGAATGACAGGAGAGGAGGAGGGGAGTGTGTGGGTGTGGGAGTGTGTTATAGGAGGGAGTGTTTGACAGGAGGGGAGTGTGTGGTAGGAGGGGAGGAGAGGGTGTGGGACTGTGGGACTGTGGGGGTGTTTGACAGGAGGGGAGTGTGGGCAGGAGGGGAGTGTGGGGTGTGGGACTGTGGGACTGTGGGGGTGTTTGACAGGAGGGGAGTGTGTGGTAGAAGGGGAGGAGAGGGTGTGGGACTGTGGGACTGTGGGGGTGTTTGACAGGAGGGGAGTGTGTGGTAGAAGGGGAGGAGAGGGTGTGGGACTGTGGGACTGTGGGGGTGTTTGACAGGAGGGGAGTGTGTGGTAGGAGGGGAGGAGAGGGTGTGGGACTGTGGGACTGTGGGGGTGTTTGACAGGAGGGGAGTGTGTGGTAGGAGGGGAGGAGAGGGTGTGGGACTGTGGGACTGTGGGGGTGTTTGACAGGAGGGGAGTGTGTGGTAGGAGGGGAGGAGAGGGTGTGGGACTGTGGGACTGTGGGGGTGTTTGACAGGAGGGGAGTGTGTGGTAGAAGGGGAGGAGAGGGTGTGGGACTGTGGGACTGTGGGGGTGTTTGACAGGAGGGGAGTGTGTGGTAGGAGGGGAGGAGAGGGTGTGGGACTGTGGGGGTGTGTGCAGGAGTGGAGTGTGGGCAGGAGGGGAGTGTGGGGTGGGGGAGTGTTTGACAGGAGGGGAGTGTGGGGTAGGAGGGGAGTGTGGGGGTGTGGGAGTGTGTGTCAGGAGTGTAGGAGGGGAAGGGACGATATTAGTGTACAAGGGGAGGGTACCGTTACATCATTACTAGACAGTGAATCACGAAATCTTTTTCTCGCTTGTGATGGGGAATAAAAGGTGGTTTCTCTATACAAGAAATGTCGGGAATTATTCATCAGGGGACGATAACCTGCGATTACTGTCAACTGAGGGCAGAAAGGACCATAACTCAGAGATAACAGTTATCTTCCCATACCTTCAGGGGAATGTCGAGTCTGCAGAAAATATTGCCAATTTTTGCTGTTCTCTGTCAAGTTTTCATTTCTCAGTCAAGTCAGTCACGTTTTCAATGCTCGGTCGTTTACAATTCTCCATTAAGTTTTTAATTCTCGGTCAAGTTTTCATTTCACAGTCACGTTTTCAATTATCTGTCAAGTTTCCAATTCTCTGTCAAGTTTCCGATTCTCTGTCAAGTTTCAAATTCTCTGTCAGGTTTCAAACTCTCTGTCAAGTTTTCAATTCTCTGTCAAGTTTTCAATTCTCTGTCAAGTTTTCAATTCTCTGTCAAGTTTTCAATTCTCTGTCAAGTTTTCAGATGTCGGTCAAGTTTTGAATACAATTTAAAGCCACAGGAAAACTTTCTCGGCGTGGTGTAAACAATCGTCTGCTGGGCAGCAGATGAAATGTGAGCAGACGACTGGGCTGTAATGAACGTAATTGGGAAGGTCCATGCCGAAAATAGCCATCGTGACGTCATCGTGATAGAAGGCTGCTCTGGTCACAGGCTATTATTAGCCAGCAAATAAAAGGTTGGACAAAAAGCGGATTGGAATAGATAAATATAGACCGACGGAAGGAAAGGATGGGTAAATATAGACCGAAGGGAAGAAGAGGGTTAAAATATCACAAATTTTAAGGAATAGTGACTTTCTCATTGTTTTTTAATGATAAATATATCACAAATTATAAGGAATAGTGATTTTTCCATTTTTTTTTTACTTTCTCGTATACATAATATAGAAGAAGTAATGTAAACGTGCACAAAAATCACATGAAATTTTGACAGTTTACACAGTTTTACACCTCAGTACTTCATCATATACGGAGTATAGGGGGCTAACTTTAATCGGGTTAAAACTCTAAATTCAGATATATCGAAATTCCGGCGTTTTACGCGTAATCGAGTCGGAAAAACTGCGCTTTGCAATTCCGTCTGTGTGTGTGTCTGTATGTCAACGTACCATTACAGTTAGGTTGACGAAATTTCATAAATAAGTATTACATCAATTTGAAGTTCTGTAGCAGCTTTCCATCTATTTCCTTTAAACGGAAGAGTAATATTCAACTTTCGATTTTTCAAAAGCCTATAACTTGTGTACTGTTTCTGATAGATGAAATTTCACATATCAGTAAAAGATATAATTCTGTTTTCTTTCAGTGACCGGAAGTAGTACTTTACGCAATTTCGCATTTCTCGAAAAACGCGTATGAATTTATAAAGAACTAATGTTCCGCACAGTTATACACAAATTGTTTGCTGTTCACTTGGTTCGCAATTCTTTTTTCTCTACAAGATTCTATTCTATTTTTAAAAGTTAAAGTATGTAAAATCTGATTAAAAATCATGTCTATATCCCGAGTTGCCATCCCCCTTAGTGTTAAATAGGAATATTCGAGAAATTTTAGGAAAATCAGTCCTGCTTTATTTAATAATAAATATAAAACACATTATAAGGAACAGTGATTTTCCCATTGTTTTTTTATATGATTAAAATATGACAAATTATAAAGAACGCGGTTTTCCCCAGATTAAAGGAATATACATTGCAATTTTTTAATACAAAAAATGTAAATAATCGTTAATAAAAAATGTAAATAATCATAATGAATTACTAAATTTTCCCAATGTTTTTTTTAAAAAAGATTTTTTATAAAAGTAAGTTGATCTCTCTTCTTACTATCAAAGGCTATTTAATGTGTTGAAGTAGTGGGTCGGCTTGCTTTAGTGTAGCAAACCTTTTTGCTTTGTTTAGGCATTACTGTTGGTGCTAAGGTTCTGCCTTACATAAAGGATTACAATCTTTGTTATAGTGATCCACACCATCAAGGTTTCTTTCTGATATTTTTCTCCGGGTGTGTGTGCGGGGGTGGAGGGGGGGGGGAGACTTGAAACCTGTTGAGGGTGATACTCCAGAAGAAAGGGGATGGCGGAAATCATGGCGGACACTGGTTCAAGAACATATTTTCATTTTTAATTCTCCAATTTTTTTTTTCTATTTTTTTTGTATCCGTGGTTGATGTGCTCTACGAAATGGGGGAGGGGGGGGGGGGAATCAGTCCTGAGATAATTAGCAATTAACGATAGCCTGGTTTAGAATTGATTACTTTTAAGTTCTCTAACTGGTGCAGTTATTGCCCGTGGCAACCGTTTTGTCATCAGCAGCTTGACAAAATCAAAACGGTATCCAGTCAAGTCTGCGCATCAAAAGGACGGAAGCGCGTGATCTCAGACGTCTGTGCGCATGCCTGAACTCGTGGTGTCAAGTAAAACGGAAGCTGCGTGCTGTATTAGCATAGAGCTAGTAAAAAAAAACTTTTGGCTTTGGTTTCGAATTCATGAACGAAGATTAGAGCAGGGAATGGATGTTGTGTGGTTTATGGCTGGTGATTGCTCCAGAGGCGTATCGAAGGGGGGTGGGGGTGGGGGGTACATATGCCCCCAGGCGCCGACCCTAAGGGGCGTCAAAATGGGTTGGATATAAAAATTAAAAGCTCATTTTAGCTGCAGTTTTGCATTATAAATACAAAAATACATGGGGGGGGGGGGGAATTGAAAGTTTGTCCCCGGGCGCCGGGAAGGGTCGCTACGCCTCTGAATTTCTCCGTGATTTTCTTTTCTTTTTAAAAAAAAAAATCGTCTTTAAAATATGACAGGAGAGACCAATACAATTTTTAAAAATATGGACATGTGAGGATTTTGTTAAATATAAAACATACTGACGTTTTTGTTAATTTACGTAGAATCTTAAAACATAAAACTGCTAATTTAATTACCTAAATTGAAACGAGCTTTTCATGACTTAATTCTATTTTCTTCTGTTTTTCATTTTTTGCCTGTTTTTTTTTAAATAACTTGATGAAATAGATTTAAAAATGTTTCTACGAGTTTCTGCGAGAGGTAAAAACATCAAACTACTTGAATTAAATTAAGGTAATTATTATTTACGCTATGTCGAAATAGTGCTTTCATTCAAACTAAAACTAAAACGTGTATATTTTTTACTATACAAGCTGTTTTCAGATGTTAGCAGGTTCTAGCTATGTGCAAGTTCTAGCTGTGTGCAGGTTCTAACTGTGACAGGTTCTAGTTGGGTGTATGTTCTAGTTATGGCAGGTTCTAACTGTGACAGGTTCTAGTTGGGTGTATGTTCTAGCTATGAGCAGATTCTAGCTGTGTGCAGGTTCTAGCAATGTGCAGGTTCTAGCTGGGTGTATGTTCTAGCTATGAGCAGATTCTAGCTGTGTGCAGGTTCTAGCTGTGTGAAGGTTCTAGCTATGTGCATGTTCTGGCTTTGAGCAGGTTCTATCTGTGAACATGTTTAAGATTTCTTTATTCTTTATGCAAAGTTCGAGCATTCATAGATCGACACTTCAATTTATTCAAATAAATAAATTAACAATAGGACGTCGTGGTCGAATGGTAGAGCGCTCTACTGTTGGTCCAAAAGACTAGAGCTCGTATCCCGGGCTCCAGTCCATAGGAAGTCCATAAGTCCACCAACTCTAATGGGTACCTGACTCACACTATCAATTAATATGCGGAAGTCACCGAGGTAGGTGAACTCTACTTCACATGTTCCAAGGACCGTAATGTTCAAAAAGGTATTCCACTCCAATCAATAAACAGAAGAAACGTTCAGTAAGTCAATCAATGTTCTGCTGGTGCTTCTAATCAAGTTGGTCCGACACTAATTTCTCGCCCCACCCAAATTGATGCTGCTTCCAAAATTTCGAGTCTTTTAAATATTCTGGTCCTTCCAAGACGTCCGGTCCTTCCGAAAATTCTGGTCCTTGCGAGGTTTTCCAACTACAAAACTTAGAAAAAACCAAAGCCAAAGAATATAAAACGACGTATAAAACCTTTTCTTAACACAGTCCCTGTAGAGTCCATGTAAGCAGATTTCTGATTGGACCGGACCAGACAGAACTCACAACAAAGTGATAGTAAATACCCAATGGAATCTGTGATATCAAATCGAGATAATGAGTAGAAAATATTAAGTTACGTAAAGTACACTATTCGAATAAAAAGTCTTAAAATAATGATCACTTAAACATTAGTTGTTGTTTTTTTTTACCAAAAGTAATTAAAGTAAAAAAGTAATAAAAAGGAAATAACTCAGAATGAGATGATGTAAAAAATAAAAAAATAAAAATTGTTTCCTTCCTTTTAATAAATAACGACTTGGAACTTCGTTTTTACAACATGTAGGATGTATTACATTAGTTTATCGTACAAAGTTGTATGAAAAAAAGCTGCTGTTTAAAAATTACACTGCATGCTATCAATCTTTTAATAAAGCTATTTTATTATTTTGTTTTCTTAAAATTTAAATTAATGACCGTTAATTAATTAATTTTTGTATTTGGCCAGGTTGAAAGTAAAAGAACCAGAATGGGGCCATGAGTTTCTGGAACCTTCAGCTGCCAGGATGGATACACTCTACGTCTGTTCGCACACACATCAGCCACACCACCACACACACACGGAGCAACCACACCAACCCACGCACAACCTGCATCAGGCCAACGTTTGCTTTCAGTAGGCCAGTTTGGATTTTATTTTGGCCACTGTTTGAAATTTTGGCCAGAATTGCAAAAAATCTGGACAACAAAGAATCTTCAGATCTATGCCAAAAATATATCTCCGGTCATCATATTGCAGTCAGGAATTACGTTTTTAAACCACCCCAGCTAATTCTTCTAGACAAGGGAAGATTCTCTCTCATCTGCCCTCGCCGCTTCGTCGTTTTCTTGGAGTTTTTAATTCGTTTTCTTGTTCTCTGTTCAAATCTTCTCTCCACATTCGGCAACTGGTCTGTGATCGTGCTGACCCCCCTTGCTGGTCTGGTAGTGATGGGAAACGAGGGCAGCGCGCCATCGTCTGAAGAAAGCACCCCCATCTCGGAGTGTCCATCCATCTACTCCATCCACTCCAGGGTCAGGTCCTCTGTGGAGAGCACCCGCGCCCCCTCCCCCATGGAGGCCCCGGAGCCGGACCTGAGCCACCTGACGGCCGAGGAGATTGCGCAAATCCGGAGCGTGATGGAGAGGGCGAGAAACTTGCAGCAGGACGAGGCGTCGCGTGCTAGGTGAGTCGATGTCATTCGTGTATGTCATTGGTACATGCCATTCTTTGATGTCATCGGTACATGTAATTCTTTGATGTCATTGGTACATGTCATTCTTTGATGTCATTGGTACGTATAATGTGTACATGTCATTGGCATAAGTCATTTGCGACATGTCATTTGTGTATGTCATTGGTACATGTCATAATTCTGGTTTAAATCGGTCATATATGTTATTGTGGTGATGGATCAAAAATAGTTAATGCGTCACATATGAGTTGAGGTGGTGGGTCATTATGAGTTGAGGTGGTGGGTCATTATGGTTGAGGTGGTGGGTCATTATGAGTTGAGGTGGTGGGTCTTTATGGTTGAGGTGGTGGGTCATTATGGTTGAGGTGGTGGGTCATTATGGTTGAGGTGGTGGGTCATTATGGTTGAGGTGGTGGGTCATTATGGTTGAGGTGGTGGGGTGGGTCTTTATGGTTGAGGTGGTGGGTCATTATGGTTGAGGTGGTGGGTCATTATGGTTGAGGTGGTGGGTCTTTATGGTTGAGGTGGTGGGTCTTTATGGTTGAGGTGGTGGGTCATTATGGTTGAGGTGGTGGGTCTTTATGGTTGAGGTGGTGGGTCATTATGGTTGAGGTGGTGGGTCATTATGGTTGAGGTGGTGGGTCATTATGGTTGAGGTGGTGGGGTGGGTCTTTATGGTTGAGGTGGTGGGTCATTATGGTTGAGGTGGTGGGTCATTATGGTTGAGGTGGTGGGTCATTATGGTTGAGGTGGTGGGTCTTTATGGTTGAGGTGGTGGGTCTTTATGGTTGAGGTGGTGGGTCTTTATGGTTGAGGTGGTGGGTCATTATGGTTGAGGTGGTGGGTCTTTATGGTTGAGGTGGTGGGTCTTTATGGTTGAGGTGGTGGGTCATTATGGTTGAGGTGGTGGGTCATTATGGTTGAGGTGGTGGGTCTTTATGGTTGAGGTGGTGGGTCTTTATGGTTGAGGTGGTGGGTCTTTATGGTTGAGGTGGTGGGTCATTATGGTTGAGGTGGTGGGTCTTTATGGTTGAGGTGTTGGGTCATTATGGTTGAGGTGGTGGGTCATTATGGTTGAGGTGGTGGGTCATTATGGTTGAGGTGGTGGGGTGGGTCTTTATGGTTGAGGTGGTGGGTCATTATGGTTGAGGTGGTGGGTCATTATGGTTGAGGTGGTGGGTCATTATGGTTGAGGTGGTGGGTCATTATGGTTGAGGTGGTGGGTCATTATGGTTGAGGTGGTGGGGTGGGTCTTTATGGTTGAGGTGGTGGGTCATTATGGTTGAGGTGGTGGGGTGGGTCTTTATGGTTGAGGTGGTGGGTCATTATGGTTGAGGTGGTGGGTCATTATGGTTGAGGTGGTGGGTCATTATGGTTGAGGTGGTGGGTCATTATGGTTGAGGTGGTGGGTCATTATGGTTGAGGTGGTGGGGTGGGTCTTTATGGTTGAGGTGGTGGGTCATTATGGTTGAGGTGGTGGGTCATTATGGTTGAGGTGGTGGGTCTTTATGGTTGAGGTGGTGGGTCTTTATGGTTGAGGTGGTGGGTCATTATGGTTGAGGTGGTGGGTCTTTATGGTTGAGGTGTTGGGTCATTATGGTTGAGGTGGTGGGTCATTATGGTTGAGGTGGTGGGTCATTATGGTTGAGGTGGTGGGGTGGGTCTTTATGGTTGAGGTGGTGGGTCATTATGGTTGAGGTGGTGGGTCATTATGGTTGAGGTGGTGGGTCTTTATGGTTGAGGTGGTGGGTCTTTATGGTTGAGGTGGTGGGTCATTATGGTTGAGGTGGTGGGTCTTTATGGTTGAGGTGTTGGGTCTTTATGGTTGAGGTGGTGGGTCATTATGGTTGAGGTGGTGGGTCATTGTGGTTGAGGTGGTGGGTCATTGTGGTTGAGGTGTTGGGTCATTATGGTTGAGGTGGTGGGTCATTATGGTTGAGGTGGTGGGTCATTGTGGTTGAGGTGGTGGGTCATTGTGGTTGAGGTGTTGGGTCATTATGGTTGAGGTGGTGGGTCATTATGGTTGAGGTGGTGGGTCATTGTGGTTGAGGTGGTGGGTCATTGTGGTTGAGGTGGTGGGTCATTGTGGGAAGGGGTGATGGGTGACATATGGGTGGGGGTGATGGGTAATTATTGTTGTGGTCATGAGTCATTAATGGTTAAAGTAATGGGTCACAAATTAATGTCTTGTAGGAGAGAGACACCTCAGCAGATTTTTTACCTTCAATTAATTAAGTCGTGAACAAACTGCCCAAAACCTAGTGTAAATTGTTCATTATTTTATTCCAAGCAGATTTACACTAGCTTAACGCGTATTTTATTCCAAGCAGATTTACAGTAGCTTAACGCGCGATCCTGGATTTAAAAAAAAATTAAATTCAATTTAACCAGGTTTCCAAGACGGACTCCGAAGAATTATTTTTTTACCTTTTAAACCAATTATTTTTTTTCCGTCAATTTATTTTTAAAGTTCAATGCGTCACGTTCACTTTTTTCTTCATATCAGACTTGCTTTAATTGGAAAATTTCCGAGTGTTTAGCGCGTTTAAATCGGGCGTCTGTTTGAATTGACGTCATACTATTTTTTTCCTAGAAATTAACTACCACCCCCTCCCACGACATCCACCCTCCCCAACCCTTTGCTCCGGTCTCCCTTTCTCAAATACTTCACACAATGTGGTTTATCATTTTCAACAAAAATGTTAAGTTCCCTTTTCGAACTTCACGGGTCCCTTGAGTAATTGAAGTAGAGTTCACCTGTTTCAGTAATCTCGGCGTTTGAAGGGATATTGTGGTCAGCACTATGTCGAGCCCCCTTTACTTTCCCAAACGTTAGTCAGGTACCCATTAGAGCTGAGTGGACTCAGGGACAACATTCAGTCCTGAGTCCGGCAGCCGAACATGTAACGGTAACCGTTGACTACTGCCACATTTAGCAGTACACTATTATAGTTTGTCACATTATGTGGTATAACCCTGTCGTATGTCACACTATGTGGTATCTCCCTGTCATATGTCACACTATGTGGTATAACCGTGTCATATGTCACACTATGTGGTATCTCCGTCATATGTTACACTATGTGGTATAGCCCTGTCATATGTCACACTATGTGGTATAGCCCTGTCATATGTCACACTATGTGGTATAGCCCTGTCATATGTCACACTATGTGGCAAAGCCCTGTCATATGTCACACTATGTGGTATAACCCTGTCATATGTCACACTATGTGGTATAGCCCTGTCATATGTCACACTATGTGGTATAACCCTGTCATATGTCACACTATGTGGTATAACCCTGTCATATGTCACACTATGTGGTATAGCCCTGTCATATGTCACACTATGTGGTATCTCCCTGTCATATGTCACACTATGTGGTATAACCCTGTCATATGTCACACTATGTGGTATAGCCCTGTCATATGTTACACTATGTGGTATAGCCCTGTCATATGTCACACTATGTGGTATAGCCCTGTCATATGTCACACTATGTGGTATCTACCTGTCATATGTCACACTATGTGGTATCTACCTGTCATATGTCACACTATGTGGTATCCCCAAGTCATATGTCACACTATGCGGCTATTACCCCATCCCCTGCTTTCGTGATCTCCGTGACTTGGTAGAAAGACATGAACATGTCACAACGTGACAATGTGAAGCAATTGAGAGGGGGGGGGGGTCATCTAGCTTACTTTGACAGTCACATGATGGGGTGGGGGTTTTGTAGAGCTTATTTGAACAGTTACTTGGAGTGGGGGCGGGGGGTATTGTCTTATACATATATATTGTCTTGTACATATTTGCTATCTTACGTCTTGAAGGTCAAGAATTTTTTAAATAGAATTTTTAATATTTACATTTATTTAGATATATTTTTTTCATATTTTAACACTTTTTTTGTGCACGTGAATTAATTTGGCTTGGAATTATTTTTGTTTGAACAAACAAATCAATAATTTTAATTTCATGTTTATCTCCGTGTATTTTTTTTTAAATCCTAAGGCCGAGTTCAGACGGTGAAGTCTAAGATGAACATGTACGTGGTTTGTTAGCACTTGATGTATGGCTGACCTTTATGGTGGACGTCTTTTATGACGTCAATGTCAACGTCTTGGGGACGTCAATGAGGACGTCTTTCATGACGTCAGTGGGAACGTCATTCATGACGTCAGTGTGAACGTCTTGGGGACGTCAATGAGGACGTCAGTGGGGACGTAATTTCATGACGTCAGTGGGGACGTTGTGATGGACGTCATTATTGACGTAAAGGCAATCAGTAGGACGTCATTATGACATCATTTACCAAATATTTTAATTAAATGACCTAATCAAACTTTTACCGTTATAGCTAATTCAACCTGACTTTTTTGGGCTTCATTCATATAACACCAGGTCATATATCGTCATGTCGTTTAACACCAAATTAAGACCACAAAATCTTATAATAAGTCAAATAACATCAAGAAAAATAACACCAAGTAATATAACACCAAGTCATATAAAACCAAGTCATATAAAACAAAGTCATATAAAACAAAATCATATAAAACAAAGTCATATAAAACAAAGTAATATAAAACAAAGTCATATAAAACAAAGTCATGTAAAACAAAGTCATATAAAACAAAGTCATGAGATGTTTTGGCCACCTCTCGATCACACAGAGAGGAAGACGTGAATAATTCATCATGTAACAAGTTCCGACGCAACTTTTTAATTAGCTGACCGTACGGAGTGTGTTATTTACATCAATATTTACACGGCGCTAATTCCGGGATTGTTTTATTAGGGGGGGGGGGGGTGATAAGGCATTGGGCGTGGTTATAGCTGGCGTTATGTGTTATAACTGGTGTTATCTGGTTATATTTGGCGTGGTATGGTTATGGCTGACGGGCTGTGGTTATAGCTGGCGGGCTGTGGTTATAGCCGGCGGGCTGTGGTTATAGCTAGCGTGGTGTGGCATTCAGTACCAT